TACCCCCGATCATCCGTTATCCATTTCACCGAAACTGATTACGATCCGCGTTCCTTTTCAGGTATGCATAACAATTTTCGGCCGAGGTTTTCCACGGCTTCCACGGGGAGGATGAGAAGCGCTGTTCGTATAGAATGCATGACTCGAAGACGCGACGGCCCCGAAGTCCCTTCAGAGGCGTAGTAAGTACCCACCTCAGACGACGGCGTTACGCCGACCTATGCTCCTCTCCTTGTTATTCGCCCCCCTCCGCCCCATCTAAATCTCCGTTGTTTATTGCAAATGGATTCCGCATCATGATGCCCGGGTGGTTACGGGACCCTATTCAAATACCTCGTGTTTCCTCGTCGGAACCGACTCTGCCCCCTCCCTCTCGTCCCTGACTCCGTCCACCCTCACCACGCGCGTACAGGGTTGTTATTGCCCCCGGCGTGATTGTTCCCTTTCTCTCGCTTTCTCTCTCTCTCTCTCTGCCGAGATCTTTCGAATAATTTACTTTGCGGGATATACAGACGCGACGCGGGGCCTCTTTGCCCTCGGCCGCCCTTTCCCCTCCCTCTCGTTCCTTTCCATCCGCCGCGATATCCAACGCGATGATTTTTTTTCCCCCCCTCTCTTCTTTCTTTCTTTCTTTCTTTCTTTCTTTCTTTTTGTTTGGGTAATCGAGGATCGAAGTCAGTCGGGCGGAAGATCAGAAAAATTGAGTGGATCCTAATACGGGAACGCGATTATCCGAATTAGCGGCTTGCCACCGGGTCCTCGCCCTCTTTTCATCGCGGTCGCGCCGCTCCCTTCCCCTCTTCCTCGATGAAAGAAGGGAGGGGGATCGCCCCGATGCTCGCCGCTTTTTCTTAAATTTCGCTCGATACCCATTGTTGCGAGCCCGCCCCCGGCTTATTTTTCTCTCTCCGCGCTTCTTCTCGCGACGGGAGAGGGGAGGAACGACGACGTACGTTATCTTAGCACGTGCGTTCCCCGTAACCGATCCCCTCCCCCGATCCTCGACCGAGAACCCGTCGTAGAATCGAGAATAGAGAAGAGGAAGATTGGCGTGTCCAACTGACCTTGGTAGTTCTGCCAGAAGGCGGATGCTTGGCTGCCGATCAGGTCCAACCCGTATCCCCATGCCGGTTTCTCGGGGGTGGAGGGTTGTTGGGAGGGGCGCGGCACCTGGGCCTCCCTATACTGTTGGGCCTGTTGCTGCTGTTGAAGGGGTTGCTGGGACGACTGTTGCTGC